TGGGCCCGGGAGGGTGGGCCCGGGACGGTGGCCCGGGAGGGTGGGCCCGGGAGGGTGGCCGGGAGGGTGGCCCGGGAGGGTGGGCCCGGGAGGGTGGCCCGGAAGGCGGGAGGGTGGCCCGGAAGGCGGGAGGGTGGCCCGGGAGAGTAGCCCGGGTGCCCGGGTGGGCCCGGAGGGTGCCGGGATCCCGGCGGGGGCCCGGAAGGCGGGAGGGTGGGCCCGGGAGGGTGGGTCCCGGAGGGTGGGCCCGAGGGTGGCCCGGGAGGGTCGCCGGGAGGGTGGGGTGCCGGGAGGGTGGCCCGGGAGGTGGCCGGTGGGCCCCATCGGGAGGGGTGGCCCGGGGTGGTCCGGGGGGGGGGCCGGGACAGTGGCCCGGGAGGGTGGCTTGGGAGGGTGGTCCCGGAGGGTGGGCCCGGGAGGGTGGCTCGGGAGGGTGGCCCGGGAGGGTGGCCCGGGAGGGTGGCCCCTGAGGGTGGGCCCGGGAGGGTGGCCCGGGAGGGTGGCTCGGGAGGGTGGCCCGGGAGGGTCCCCGACGAGGGGTGGCCCGGGAGGGTGGGTCCGGGAGCTCCTCGAGGGCGGGGGGGCGCCCGGGAGAGTAGCCTGGGAGAGTTCCCGGGGATGGGACCCGGGAGAGCCCCCGAGGGCGGGGAGGGGGTTCGGGAGGGTGGCCCGGGAGTGTTCCCCAGGGTGGGCCCGCTCAAGCGCGACGGGAGGAGGAGGAGGGAGGGTGAGAAGAGAGGGGGGAGGAGGGACGGAGGGAGGACGGCCACGAAGGGGAGTGCCCACGCCGGGGGGGTCCGGGGGCCGCGATCCAGTCGCGCGATCCGGTTCGCGATTCGATTCGACAGGGTCGCGATCCGGTCCGCAATTCGATTCGGCGAGGTCGCGATCCGGTTCCCGGTTCGATTCGCCTGCGGTTCGCAGCGATCCGGTTGCAGGCGATGCGATTACGATTTCCCGACGGGGGCGCGCGGGCCCTCCCTGCCCGGGCTGCAGGAGCTGGGCCTGACCGACAACCGCATCGGCGACGAGGGCGCGCGGGCCCTGGCGGGGGCGCTGCCCTCCCTGCCCGGCCTGCAGGAGCTGCGCCTGGACGGCAACAGCATCGGCGCCGAGGGCGCGCGGGCCCTGGCGGGGGCGCTGCCCTCCCTGCCCGGCCTGCAGGAGCTGCGCCGGGGCGGCAACAGAGGTCCGCACGAGATTCGATCCGGGTCGGTTCGATTCGGCGAATCGCATCGCCGCGGATGCCGATTCGATGCTGGAGGCCCCCTGCAACGATCTGGTTTGCGATTCGATTCGGTTGCCGAGCGATTCGATTGCGATCCGGTGCAGAGCGGGCGACGATCCGGTTCGCGATTCAATTTGGATCCCGCGGAGCAGACGCCCGCTTGCTGCGCGAGAGGCCGCCAGGCTAAAGAAAAGGAGGTGGAAGGGGAGGAGGTGGACAGCGAGCTGCCCGGACAGGGGGGGACCGGGAGGGTCCGGGGCCGGACCGGGGGCCCTCGTCGCCGCCGGGGCCGTCGTCGTCGTCGTCGTCGTCGTCGTCGTCGTCGTCGTCGTCGTCGTCGTCGTCGTCGTCGTCGTCGTCGTCGTCCTCGGGGGACCGGGCGGGGGCCCCCAGTTCAGCGTTCTGACAAGGACTCGGCGACGAGCGGCCCCGCAATGCGCGAAACGCCGCCGCCGCCGTCGTCGCCGCCGCCGTCGAGGGATGAGGACCGAGGTTCGGCCTCCGGCTTTTCGGCGGTTTTGGGCTCTCGGGGCGTCTGCCGCCTCGCCTCCCTATGTTCCATGGGCTGCCGCCGACGACGACGACGACAAGACGACGGACGACGACGACGACGACGACGACGACGACGACGACGAGGTTAGGGGGGCCTGGGAAGGTCCCCCCAGGGGCGCCCGGAGGGCGCCGCCTTTGGGAGGGTGGCTCGGAGGGTGGGCCCGGGAGGGTGGCCCAGGAGGGTGGGCCCGGGAGGGTTGCCCGGGAGGGTTGCCCGGGAGGGTGGCACGGGAGGGTCCCCGAAAGTGGGTGGCCGAGGGTGGGGCCCGGGAGGGTGGCCCGGGAAGGTGGGCCCGGGAGGGTGGGCCCGGGAGGATGGCCCGGGCGGGTGGGCCCGGTGAGGGTGTGGCCGGGAGGACCGACGGTGGCCCGGGAGGGTGGGCCCGGGTATGGTGGGCCCGGAGGGTGGGCCCTGGAGGGTGGCCCGGGACGTGGGCCCGGGAAGCGGTGGTGCCCGGAGGGTGGGCACGGGGAATGGGGCTCGGGAGGTGGGCCCGGAGTGTGGGCCCCGGGAGGGTGGCCCTTGGTAGGTGGCCTGGCAGGGTGGCCCGGGAGGGTGGGCCCGGGAGAGTTGCCCGGGAGGGTGGGCCCGGGACGGTGGCCCGGGAGGGTGGGGTCTCCGAGGGTGGCCCGAGAGGGTGGAGCCCGGGAGGGTGGCCCGGGAGGGCAGCTCGGGAGGGCAGCCCGAGAGGGTGGCCCGGGAGGGTGGCCCGGGAGGGTGGCCGGGGAGGGTAGCCCGGGAGAGTGCCCGGGAGTGGGCTCGGGAAGTGGCCCGGGAGTGGTGGCCCGGTGGCCCCGGGGGGTGGCGCCGGGGGGAGGGTGCGCCCGGACAGGTGGCCCGGGAGGGTGGCCCGAGGATGGGGCCCGGAGTGTGGCCCGGGAGGGTGGCCCGGGAGGGTGGCCCGGGTGGGTGGGCGTGGACCGTCCCGGCGCGCGGCCGTACGAGGCGCGCGGCGCGTGCCGGGCGTCGAGCGACGGTGGCCCGGGAGGGTGGCCCGGGAGGGTGGCCCGGGAGGGTGCCCGGGTGGGTGGCGTGGACCGACAGTGGCCCGGGAGGGTGGGCCCGGGAGGGTGGGCCCGGAAGGGTGGCCCGGGAGGGTGGCCCGGGAGGGTGGCCCGGGAAGGTGGCCCAGGAGGGTGGGCCCGGGAGGGTGGGCCCGGGAGGGTGGCCCGGGAGGGTGGCCCGGGAGGGTAGGCCCGGGAGGGTGGCCCGGGAGGGTGGAGCCCGGGACGGTGGCCCGGGAGGGTGGCTTGGGAGGGTGGCCCGGGAGGGTGGCCCGGAACGGTGGCCCGGGAAGATGGCCCGGGAGGGTGGCCCGGGAGGGTGGGCTCGGGGAGGGTGCGCCCGGGAGGGTGGGCCCGGGAGGGTGGGCCCGGGAGGTTGCTCGGGAGGGTGGGGCTCGGGAGGGTGGCCCGGGAGGGTGGGGCCCGGGAGGGTTTCGAGGGGAGGCCTGGGAAGGTCCCCGAGGGTGGCCCGGGAGGGTGAGCCCGAGAGGATGGCCCGGGAGTGGTCCGGGAGGGTGGCCAGGGTGGCCTGGGAGGGTGGGCCCGGGAGGGTGGGCCCGCGAGGGTGGGCCCGGGAGGGTGGGCCCGGGAGGGAGGGTGGCCCGGGAGGGTGGTTCCGGGAGGGTGGCCCGGGAGGGTGGGGCCCGGGAGGGTGGCCCGGGAGGGTGGCCCGGGAGGGTTGCCCCGGGGAGGGTGGCCCGGAGGTGTCCCCGGGATGTGGGCCCGGTGAGGGTGGGGGTGGGCCCCGGGTGGAGGGTGGCCCAGAAGGTGGCCTTGGAAGGTGGGGCACGGGTGGGCCCGGGAGGGTGGGACCGGGAGGTGCGCTGGGAGGGTGGCACCGGGAGGGCTGCCCGATAGGGTGGGCCCCGGGGGGTCCCCGCCGGTGGTTGGTTCCGGGAGGGGTTGCCGGGAAGGTGGGTCCCGGGAGGTTGGGCACTGAGGGTGGCCCGGGAGGGTGGGCCCCGGGAGGTGCGCCCGGGGGTGGGGCCCGGGAGGGTGGCCCTTCGGAGGGGGGGGCTCGGGAGGGTGGGCCGTGAGGGTGTCCCGGGAGGGTGGGCCCAGGAGGGTGGCCCGGGAGGGTGGGCCGGGAGAATGGCCCGGGAGGGTGGCCCTGGGAGGGTGGCCCGGGAGGGTGGGTTTGGGAGGGTGGCCCGGGAGTGTGGGCCCGGGAGGGTGGACCCGGGAGGGTGGCCCGGGAGGGTGGCTCGGGAGGGTGGCCCGGAGGGTGGCCCAGGAGGGTCCCCCAGGGTGGGCCCGCGCAAGCGCGACGGGAGGAGGAGGAGGGAGGGTGAGAAGAGAGGGGGGAGGAGGGACGGAGGGAGGACGGCCACGAAGGGGAGTGCCCACGCCGGGGGGGTCCGGGGGCCGCGATCCAGTCGCGCGATCCGGTTCGCGATTCGATTCGACAGGGTCGCGATCCGGTCCGCAATTCGATTCGGCGAGGTCGCGATCTGGTTCCCGGTCCGATTCGCCTGCGGTTCGCAGCGATCCGGTTCCAGGCGATGCGATTACGATTTCCCGACGGGGGCGCGCGGGCCCTCCCTGCCCGGCCTGCAGGAGCTGGGCCTGACCGACAACAGCATCGGCGACGAGGGCGCGCGGGCCCTGGCGGGGGCGCTGCCCTCCCTGCCCGGCCTGCGGGTGCTGATCCTGTACAACAACAGCATCGGCGCCGAGGGCGCGCGGGCCCTGGCGGGTGCGCTGCCCTCCCTGCCCGGCCTGCAGAAGCTGTGGCTGGGCGACAACAGCATCGGCGCCGAGGGCGCGCGGGCCCTGGCGGGGGCGCTGCCCTCCCTGCCCGGCCTGCAGGAGCTGTGGCTGGGCGACAACAGCATCGGCGCCGAGGGCGCGCGGGCCCTGGCGGGGGCGCTGCCCTCCGTGCCCGGCCTGCGGGTGCTGGACCTGTCCTTCAACAGCATCGGCGCCGAGGGCGCGCGGGCCCTGGCGGGGGCGCTGCCCTCCCTGCCCGGCCTGCAGGAGCTGCGCCGGGGCGGCAACAGAGGTCCGCACGAGATTCGATCCGGGTCGGTTCGATTCGGCGAATCGCATCGCCGCGAATGCCGATTCGTTGCTGGAGGCCCCCTGCCACGATCCGGTTCGCGATTCGATTCGGTTGCCGAGCGATTTGATTGCCATCCGGTGCAGAGCGGGCGACGATCCGGTTCGCGATTCGATTTGAATCCCGCGGAGCAGACGCCCGCTTGCTGCGCGAGAGGCCGCCAGGCTAAAGAACAGGAGGTGGAAGGGGAGGAGGTGGACAGCGAGCTCTCCGGACTGGGGGTGTCCGGGGCCGGACCGGGGGCCCTCGTCGCCGCCGAGGCCGTCGTCGTCGTCGTCTTCGTCGTCGTCGTCGTCGTCGTCGTCGTCGTCGTCGTCGTCGTCGTCGTCGTCGTCGTCGTCGTCGTCGTCGTCGTCGTCGTCGTCGCTGGCCGTTGCGGGCCTCGGGGGCCCCGGAGGGGGCCCCCGGACTCGGCGACGAGCGGCCCCGAAATGCGCGAAACGCCGCCTCCGCCGTCGTCGCCGCCGCCGTCGAGGGAGGAAGACCGAGGTTCCAGGTTCGAGGTTCGGCCTCGGGCTTTTCGGCTGTTTTGGGCTCTCGGGGCGTCTGGTGCCCCCGCCCCCCTCTCCCCCAAGGGCCGCTGCCAACGACGATGACGACGACGACGAGGGGAGGGTGGCCCGGGAGGGTCCCCCGGAGGGGGCCCGGAAGGGTGGAGGGTGGGTGGCCCGGGAGGGTGGCCCGGGAGGGTGGGCCCGGGAGGGTGGCCCGGGAGGGTGGGCCCGGGAGGGTGGCCCGGGAGGGTGGCCCGGGAGGGTGGCCCGGGGAGGTGGCCTGGGAGGGAGGGTGGGCCCCGGAGGGTGGGCCGGGGAGTGGCCCGGAGGGTGGGCCCGAGAGGGTGGCCCGGAGGGTGGCTTGGGAGGGTGGGCCCGGGAGGGTGGGCCCGGGAGGGTGGGCTTGGGAGAGGGTGGCCCGGCAGGGTGGGGCCCGGGAGAGGGGGGTGGCCCGGCAGGGTGGCCCGGGAGGGTGGCCCGGGAGGGTCCCCGAGGGTGCCCGAGAGGGTGGCCCGGGAGGGTGGCCCGGGAGGGTGGCCCGGGAGGGTGGCCCGGGAGGGTGGCCCGGGAGGGTGGCCTGGAATGGTGGGCCCGGGAGGGTGGGCCCGGGAGGGTGGCCCGGGAGGGTGGCCTCGGGAGGGTGGGCCCGGGAGCCCACGGATCCAAGAGCCTTAAAAAAATTGGAGCTACGAGATGACATGCTTTTTAAGTATTGGCAAGCTTTTCTTCGCTCGTTGATTTTCAACGACGCTCGTTGATTTTTTATATCGCTCGTTGATTTTTTACATCGCCTCAACTATCGCTCGTTGATTTTTTACATCGACGCAACGACGCTCGTTGAATTTTCACAAAAGCTCAACTTCGCCTCTTAAGTTAGCGCAGTGACTTATAGTTTCAGACTGTATTTGACGTGCGTATGTATACACATCCATGTGTTAACCGACGAATGAAAGTACATGTGTATATATACATACATGAACATATCGTTGGGATGCTTGACGCACTAGATGCGCCACATGCATCCCGAACAACGCCCTCGCCTCTCTCCCCCCCTTTTTCTTTCTCACAGAAGGACTACGTCCAGGGACCCCAACTCCAACTCCAACTCTTTCTCTCTCACACCCCTCTTCCCCTCCGTCCCTCTGCAAACTCGCCCGCGGCCGCTTGCATCCAGGGCGCGCGGCCGCCACGCGCGCCGCCTGGGGCGCACATGGTGGGCAACCGCCCCACCGCGGATGTGCCCGCGGCGCTGGTGGCGCAGGCCACCCTCCTCCCCCCCCCCCCGACCCCAAGGATCCAACTTTTAGGCTTAAGCCGACAAGTTGGATCCGTGGGGTCCCAAAACCCCGATTTGACCACTAGTGTTTCTCAACTCGGGTGACCCACCCCCTCGCCCCCCTTTCCTTCCGGATCCCTCCTATCCTCCCCCTGATCCCCCTCCCCCGTCGCTTTCTCCGCATCGTCAACATCATCATCAGCAACACTAACACCATCATCACGACGTGTACCCTGCAGTCACAGGTGGCGACTGTCACCGCCTGCTCATCATCACTCATTACCATCACCTCCGCGTCCTCGTCTCGCTAGCGTTGTCGCCGTCGAGGCCCTGCTGAATTTCGACGCGTTGGACAAAAACGAGGGCAACGTCCCGCTGATTGCGGGTTGGCGGGGGAAGGGCCGCGATGAAGATGATACGGTGATGAGGGCCCGAAGGAGAAGAGGGTAAAACGGTAGGAGGAGGATCGAGGAGGAGGACGAGGAGGAGAAGGAGGTGGAGGAGGAGGAGGAGGAGGGAGAGGAAGGGGACTAGAAAACATCAGGATGACCAGGACCTCGAGGAGGGTGATGAAGGCATTCTGAAACAGGGGAGGTTACGACATCCCAGACTTCAGCGCCTACAGCCCGCAGTACATGTCCAGGCCGAACAGAAAGCTACTGCAGGTGGGAGCGGGGAGCCATCATCATCATCGTCATCATGACCATCACCATATCAGCATCATCACCAACACCACCATGACCATCACCATCACCGCCCCCAATCATCACAGACACGACCTCCATGACCATCATCATCGTCATCATCACCATCACCATCATCATGTTGGTCGTACTCCTCTCCTGCTACCCTGCTGCCCCTCCCTCCAAGTCCTCCGCCCCTGCATTGCATGAGAGGGGTCGGAGGTGTGGACCCCCGTCTGCCAAGACTCACATCAACTAGGAGGTGGGCTTCGGTATGCTCAGTCCCTTATGCAGGCCAGCGTGCATGATCCTCTCTCGTTTTCTTTCTCGTTCTCTCTCTCTCTCTCTCTCGCTCTCCCTCCCTCTCTCTACATCCATGTATGTATACATACGTGAATGCATGGGCGGCCATTGGGGGGACAATGATTAGCAATGATGAGCTCTTCGGTTAACCGTCCCCCATTCCGTGGCGTTTTCCTCGTGCGCATTCCCCTCTTCCTCTCCTGATCCCCCCCTCCACGTGAGAAAAACAAGTGGTCCTTCTCGTCCCTCCTCCTTCTCCCTGTCCTTCCTCCTCTTCTCTTCTCCCTACTTCTCCTGTGCATCAGCCTCCCCCTGAACCTCATCCCACCCATCATCGCAACGTGGCAATCGTCGCCATGGCCCTCTTCCTCCCCTCCCCGCCTTCGCTCTGCAGGCGGCGTGGTCAATGAGCTTCGAGGACAAATACGGCAAGCAATACAAAGACAAGCACGCCAGGAGGCCAGCACGGACGGTGCTGACTGCCATGAAGTACCCCCCCACCGCAAGAATTCTCTCTTTTCAGTGTGTACGCATCAATGCATATGCATACATACATAACCACACATAGACACATATCTACATACATACATAAAGCTACATCGTATCATGTATTTATTCCTCCAACACTCTCCTCACGTTCGCCTCTCTCTCTTCCCTCGGATGTCCTCTGCCTTCCTCCGTCTCTGTATGTATATCGTGCTCTCTCTCTCTCTCTCTCTCTCTCTCTCTCTCTCTCTCTCTCTCTCTCTCTCTCTCTCTCTCTCTCTCTCTCTCTCTCTCTCTCTCTCTCTCTCTCTCTCTCTCTCTCTCTCTCTCTCTCTCTCTCTCTCTCTCTCTCTCTCTCTCTCCGCTCTCACTCTCTCTCTCTCTCTCTCTCTCTCTCTCTCTCTCTCTCTGCTCTCTCTCTCTCTCTCTCTCTCTCTCTCTCTCTCTCTCTCTCTCTCTCTCTCTCTCTCTCTCTCTCTATGTGTTTCTATGTGATCTGTCGTAGACTAGTGTGGCAAGACGTGGAAGGAATTTGCACGCGATGAGTGAACTCCTGGGCGCATTGGGGGAGGAGGATGGGCAATGGATTCCCCACGCGCGCGCTCGAGGTACGTGCAGGCCAGGAGCATCCGCAAGATATTCAAGCATTGGCAGCAGACGTACGACAAAGGTGCTGCTGAGGCCTTTGGGGTAGATGCGCATGCCAGAGTATACGGACGAGGGAGGGATCAAGGGCGGAGAAAGGATGGGATAAGGCAGGAGGGGAGGGCGGAGGGTGGACAGGGTGGGAGGAAGCAGAATGGGAGAAGGCATGAAGGTCGCGAGTTGAGGCTGGATAGTCGCAGCAATTCTCGCCCCCTGCCGTCCCTTCCAATCCATATTCTCGCATCCCCATCCCACTCCGTAGTGCTTTGGTCCCATCCATCCTCGCTCCCTCCCTGCTCCATCCCCCCCCCCCCCTCCCGCCCGCGCCCCATCCCCCTATCTCCATCCATCAGAACCCATCTTCTCATTCTGGATGTCAGTTTGATCGCTTCGGGGGTGGGGGCAGGGCAACGACGTCGACATGATCGACTCCGAGGGCGACGACTGCGAGGAGTACTTCAAGAAGATGCGAGCTGCAATTGACAATGATGCGGACGGGTTGGGATGCAGCCAGAGCGAGCATGGAACATGAGGATGACGACGATGAGAACGATGGCGATAATGATGGTCATGGCAATGATTATGATGGTGTTGTTGTTGATGGTGATGATTATGATGATGATGATGATGATGATGATGGTGACGGCGTTGCTGCTGACAGTGATGGTGCTGGTGGGGTATTGGTGAAGACGATGCCGCCGATCGTGATGCTGTTGGTGATGGTAATGATGATGATGGTGATGGTGATGCTGATGATGATGATGATGATGACGGTGATGGTGTTGGTGTTGGCGGTAACAGAAGTGTTGGGCGATTGATAATGATGGCGTTGAAGATGTCCGTGGTGGTGCTGGTGAAAGTTGTGGTGGGGACGATGCCGCCGACTGTGATGCTGTTGTTTATAACGGTGATGATGGTGGTGATGGCGCTGGTGTTGGTGGTGATCAAAATGATGATGAGGATGATGCTGATGGCGATGATGATGCTGATGCTGATGCTGATGATGATGATGCTGATGGTGCTGATGAGGATGATGATGAGGATGATGATGATGATGATGCTGATGCTGATGACGATGATGATGCTGATGATGATGGTGATGATGCTGATGGTGACTGTGGTCTTGATGATTCTGGCGATGACGGCGATGCCGATGATGAAGAGGATGGGACGGAGGAGCAAGGGCGACGTGGGAGGAGGGGACGGTGAAGCGAGGGAGCGGAGAGGCGAGGGGGAAGGGGGGCAGACGCAGAGGAGGGCGTGAAGCGTCAAGCAAACCCAAGCGAGGGGAGCGGAGGAGTCGGATTCCCCTCGGCCGAAGACGCCCGCGTCGTCTGAGAAGCAGGAGCATGGCCCGACCGACATTGTAGATCTGACGGGGCACTATTTTGGAAAGTCACTGCTTGGACGCGAGCACAAAGGTAAGAAGAACGCTAAGAAAGATAGGAGGACAAAGAAAGAGCAGAAAAAGAGAAAGAAGAGCAAGAAAACAAAGGGGATCACGATAGCCCAGCCAGTCACGCCCGCCACACCAATCCCCATCGCGGCCGCCTCGCCACCCCCGCTCGTGAAGGCCAGCCCCGCCACGCCAGCCGCTGAGAAGATTGTTTGTGCCGCCGCGTCGCCGAAAGCTAAGAAAGAAGCGAAGCCGAAGCCACCTGTTAAGAGGCCTGCGGCAATGCTGATCCAGAAAAGGCCCGCTGCGAAAGCAAAGCAGGAGCGATCTGTGGAGGAGGAAGGGATGGATGTTGGCGGGAGACTCGGGGGGCACGGGGAGGAGGAGGAGGAGGAGGAGGAGGAGGAGGCGGCGAACAAGGACGGGGGTGGAAGAAGGAGGATGAGCTCAGCAGGAGGGGGCACTGGCGGCCGCCCCAACCAGGAGACACCGCAAGAAGATGATGAGGAGCAGGCTGATGAGCAGGTCGTTCTAGTTGTCGAGGAAGGCGAAGGAGGCGCCCCCGAGGGCGAGGGCGGTGAGGGCCAGGGCGGCGCTCCCGAGGGCGAAGAAGACGAGGGCGAGGAATGCGCCGAGGGCGAGGAAGGCGCCGAGGGCGAGGAAGGCGCCGAGGGCCAGGAAGGCGAGGGCGAGGAATGCGAGGGCGAGGAAGGCGCCCCCGAGGGTGAGGGCGAGGAAGGCGCCGAGGGCGAGGACGGCGCCGAGGGCGAGGAAGGCGCCGTGGGCGAGGAAGGCGCCGAGGGCGAGGAAGGCGAGGGCGAGGAAGGCGAGGGCGAGGAAGGCGAGGACGAGGAAGCCGCCCCCGAGGACGAGGAAGGTGAGGAAGAACCAGCCGAGTTGGACGAGGTTGTAGCCCCCCCGCCCCCCAAGCCGCCCAAGGGAGCCGAGGTAGGCCAGACTGAAGATGGAGGCATCTTCTTCGCTAAAGTGGTGCGGCGTGAGAGCGAACTGATTTCGTCCGTCGAGTTCAAGAAGCCGCTGGAAAAGTGGTCCCAAAAGGTGCAGGTCAAGGACACGTACTGGGAGGCAGAGAACCCCGAGGAGGCCAAGGAGAAGAGCACGAACCTGATGCAGGACGGCCTGGGGGGAAGGAGTAGGGAGGCGTGGTCACCAAACGCTACTAGTACGATCCGGAAGGTGCTGGGAGGATGCGGTGTGCACGTATGTGTGTTTACACACGCACAGTGTGCATGTACGGACGCATGCATTCGTATATGTGCATTTATACACGTGCATACTTTCATACTGTACATGCACACATATACATTCATTCATTCATTCATTCATTCATTCATTCATTCATTCATACATACATACATACATACGTATATACCTATATACCCACATACATACATACATACATACATACATGCATGCAACCATACACACATACATGCATATATGCATATATGCATACATACATACATATATAAGCACACATCGACATACACATATATTTAGACATATGCGTATACAGTGTGTGCGTAGACGTGCGCATGCATACATACAAACGAACACGCAATGTATATGTATGTGTGTGCGTACGTCTGCACATATGTAAACATGTATGTGTCACGCTAGACATATACCACAATACGTATGTATGCATTACGTACGCAGGTATATATATATGCATGCACACATGCACCCATACATACATATAGACGCGTGTGCGCGTGCGCGGTACCATTTGTGGTATACTTGTGGACTGGGGGGCGGAGCGGCACATTGTAGGCCCAAGCTCGTACCATATTTAGGGGTATCAGCATCTGTGCATATGGTACGCGCAGGTGCCCATCTGTATTCGCAAGCACATGGTATGCTCATGCAGTGGGGTATTCATCATACCATCGGCAATTACGTCTATCGAGCCCCGTTGTCAGCCTGACGCGCCATCGCTCCCGTGTGGTTTCGCCATGTCCCAGATGCACGCTCATGCGCCTGTATATGTGCACATGCGCGCATATGTGCATGTGTGTGCATACTTGTGGAAATTAGTGTTTACACAGGAATGATCACGTACATGCACACAGATATACATGCATATGTCTGTGCACACACATGTATTCATGCAGATGTATTGCATGTGCAAGTATACAAGTACGTATGTGCACATGCACGCATCTGCATGTGGTGTTGCACGAGTGTACGCATGCGTCAATGCGCACGCACAGGTATACATGACTACGCGAACGTATGCGTATGCCTGCAAACCAGATACATGCACGCGTACACATGCAGCCTGTACAACTGTCGTTCCCCCTGGCTCCATCCACCTCGTTATCTCTCGCTCTCTTTCTCGCTCGCCATCTCTTTACCTCTCCCTCTGTCAATTCGTTCCCTCTCGCTGACTCTCTTTATCTCTCGTTCGCTCTCGTCTCCCATCGCACCCCCCCTCGCTCCAATTGCCTTGATCCGCGCGCCCGACCTTCTCCCGCTCTTCTCTCCGTCGCCCTTCGGAGTTCGCGCGCAGCGCCTCCACCCCCGTCCCCGCGGGAGCTTAAGGAAGTATTGAAGGAGTGCCTCAAGAAGGGGGTCTGCGACGGGGAGGGCGCGAAGGCCATCAGGGACGAGTTCCTCGGCTCGCAAGGGGAGTGACGCAGGGGGGTGGGTCGCAATCTCTTGGACGCGGGTTTCCGTCCGACATTCCGAGGGTAAGGGCGAAATTTCAGGACACGATGAGGAACTCTCCAGGAAGACGAGGGGGAATTTTCCAGGAGGGTTATCTCTCCGAGAGGGCGAGGGGGAGAAAGAGGAGGATCAGGAATATGGCGGAGGACGAGGAGGAGAGATGGTGGGGAAGGAGGGGCTAATAGGCTCAGCCTCGCTGTGCTGGATGTCAAAGTGCACCTGCAATGGGACATGCTGGGTCGAGGGACGAGCAACCTATAGATGCGCGTCCATCGCAATGTCACATGCTCTCACGTCGTCTTCCCTTTATCTCGCGTCAGTGACCCGATGAACGTGTTTGTTGATTTAGTGACATTGTAATGCACGGTGGGGGGGGGGGGGCAGCCGCTGACTGATGAAGTACACCCGCGAGAAGACGTACAGCCGTATACGCAGCCTGCGTGGGAAGGGGTCTTGCATGAGTTTAGTGGTCAGGATCAGGATCAGGGTGTGCTTGGCGCTGGTGCCCCTTAGTTGCGCACGCTAGGACAGGATTGGAGCGGTCCGAACTTATGACAATATTCTGAATCAGGACCTGGAGTGATAGTTTTGATCATCGTGATCGGCAGCATCCAGCCTGGTCATCATAAGCATGTTCACCATACGCCGTATGGTACATCCACGTAACCATGCTCACCATCATCGTGATCGTTGAGCCCATTCACACTCCAGTTAAGAACTGTCAACAGGTCGATCTAGCCTCCCATCCTAGCCCTGATCGGAACCAAAATCTAGAACCTCGTCCGAATACAGAATGATCACAAAGATTGCGGATGCATAGTTTCTTCCAGCACTTGCGTGTACGCGTATGTGTCCACCTGCTTACATCACAACTGCCGCGCAATGAGCTGTTGCCGTCCTGCCCGAATGGACGGGAGGTGAATGGTTATTGCTGGTACTTTGGATCTGATCCAGCGCAGCAGCTGGGGCTGGGGGGTTGTTTAGGAGGGCAGCGCAGTTGTCTTGCCCAATGCTGAAGCGTGCCCCTGGGCCCATACACAGAGGAACCTTGCAGACACAGTCGACAGGGGGCACACATCAGCTGCGCGTAAGTTTTAATGTGGCTGGGAACCTCCAGCTGCGACCGCGCGCCTCCATGCAGCCTGTTCCGTCGATTCGGTTTCGAGGAAACGTGGGCATCTGGATTGCGCTGTCTGCTGCGTCGCACAGGTCTATTCATGTGAACCTCGACTGGCGCCTTTGTTGGGAGTTCCGAGGGGTGCATGGGCCATGCTGCAGTTGTGCATGCGAGAGGATATGTAGTGGGAGGGGAGAGAGGAGAACGGGGGAGGGCGCGGAGGAAGGAGCGAGAAAGGGGGGAGAGGAGCGATGGGGAATGACCGAGGATGGATCCCTCGAGTGAGGGGGGAATATGGAGGATCAACGCGAAGTGGGGAGAAGGGGTGCTGAGAGGGAGAGTGGCCTTCAGCAGATTGGTGTTCTCACGCGAGCGCCCTATCTGCTCGAGACTGGTTGCGAGCGGCACGTTGACATCGAGGGCCTTCCGCCCCACTTGCGGTGACTAGGGATTGGGGGGATTGCAGCGCGTGCGATATGGGAGCATCTCGAGTCACACTAATCTATTTCGGGCGAGCGGTCGAATCGACGCCGATCCCGATGCCTGATCAAAATCGTGCCCCAGCGAAGCGATCAAGGCCGAACGGCCGAGTCGTCGACGCTCGAGCTGAGGCCTTGCCTTAAACCTCTGGGACCCCCGACCGATTATGTGGCTGAAGTCGGTTCCTGGGGCCGAAGCCTTAGCACGTGCATGCATGTTTGATAGCAACATTCACAACTATGTACATAACAACATACACACACGTAAATACGTACACACATACAAACATGTAAGTACGCTTCTAAATATATGCATACATACGCAAATTCATGGGTATGCGACTAAACCGTATACATGTGTGTAAACGTATATACATGTATATGCTCGATACAACTACAGTACGTGTTTCTGTGCGAATATATATATATATATATATATATATATATATATATATATATCCACATAGATATACATATATATGTGTGCCCACAAAACTATGTACTTACCGCATACACACCGACCCCGAACCCGCATCGACAATTGCTATCACGATCGACCTTGCCCCAACCATTCGCCCCAGCAAAA